AAATTTATCTCATTATCATCAATATTTTCTTGAGTTAATAGGAATACATTCAATTTCATTAAGAGACGTAACAATATATTCAAATATTTTAAGTATTTTAGAGCTGGTTGAGAGATTTGAGTAAATTGATAAAAATTCAAAATTAAATATTTATTCCTCTAACATATTTAACCAATGAATTTCGTATAACAAAGTTTTCGTGATTACAAAGGTGTTCCTAAAATAATGTGATCAAAGCTTATGTAATTGTTCTTTGCCTTTTATCCATGATTTATATACAAAGTTATCATTGTAACAAACAATTCAATAATAATGATCATTTAATGACTTTAGATATCAAAGACACAGATTCGAACATTTGATATTTATTTAATTGCAAACGAATACTCGAATATCAAATTTCACTTTTACAGTTGAATAAAATAATTCTTGAACCGATGAATGTGTTTTGAAGCATAAAATAAATTAAAATAATTATTAGCGAATTCAAAATCACTGAAACTAACTACCGGGAGATAATCTACATTTCATAATAGTAGCGGTGCCATAGCTTGTTAATTACCCTAGTATTTATGGCACGTCTATTACAATGTTAGTACGAAGTGCTTCTCCAAAATATGGGATATTGGATTAAATGTAATAACATCTTTATTTTAATTACAGAAACTGATTTTCCTAGCAATCCTCCAATGCAGTTTGATTAATCAGTGTAAGAAAAAGTATATAGCCAATTCCTTTTACAAAAAAAGCAACCCACACCAAAACCATATCATGAGCTACCAATTCTAATTGCGTTTCTAAAAATGTGCTCAACATTCAAATAAGGAAATAATTGTAATTAGACAGTAAAAATAATAAAAAAAGATGATATCACTACGATTTCGCATTCTGAAACGGTATAGAAGATCACGATTCTCGCCACATAATTTCTAGAATTCAAAATAAAAACAAAAAACAAATAACTATTACAACCTTTTTTATTGATTTTTCACATGATCACGTGCTTGATATTTATTTATAAGGGTAGATAGAAAAACCGGTACGGTACGAATTCGTACTGCATCATGATTAGAATTTTAAATTTTCATATTTCTGAAATTTTTAATACAACGGTATGTTTGTCAAAATAAATTTAATAAAATTAAATTAAAAATAAAAGCATTACTACATAAAATTAAGAATAATTTAATTACAAAAACAATAATTTATTTTAATATGATGCATTTGTCCTTCAATAAAAAATGATTATATTATTATTATTTTTTTTTTATTGAAATAAAAAGGAATATAATAATAATCGGTTAAAATTTTTAATTTTAAAACATTACAAACTTTATAATAAATCACCTGTTATCAACGTCTATTACAAAAGATCATACCGTAAATACCTACTGTCCCTGGATTAACTGATGATTTTACGATCAGATGATTCCGTTCGACTGTGTGGATCAGTTTTGTATATAAATTACCAATTTGAATCGGCATTAATTTAATATATTAACTTAATGTACTTAATGTGTAACACAAATTATAATGATAATCTCTGTAACCAAAATTTTTCCTTGAAAAACTCTGATCCGTTGTTCCTAACTCATGATTCAAATTTATATTATCAAAATAATTTGATATATAATTCTTCAAATCTATTTCTTTACATATTTAAAATAAATATTCGATGTACCGAAAATTCTAGATCTAGGTCGCGAAAATCAGGAAATTAATATTCTTTGTTTCTTTACAATACAAATAAAAAACAAAATAAAATAAAGGCTAAAATAAAGAATGAGAAAGTTTAACATCATGGCTGCGCCGTGATGTTCAAATGAGATTTGATAATTTGCGTTCATTGTACGAATGATTCCAAAAAAGTAAATTCGTACGGTATTACCCCTTAACAATTCATTTTGATCGACAAGGAAATTTGTCATTTTCAGAAATTTGTATGGTTACAAATATGCACAGTACCTCGATTTTTATTTTGTAACCATATAAGAATGAACATTAACTCAAACTCCTTGATTTTTAATTTAAAACATGGAAGATTATGAACTGGTAGCTGCAGCATTATCTAAAATTACAAACACGCAAGTGATTACATATAATGAATATTTGTCACAAAAGGATAAAAATTCTGACCAAACTTTTCAATATTTTGATATTAATTTACTTCATGATATCTATTTAGTCAAAGGGGTTGTCACTTCCGACGTTATTGATGTTGAAGATGATATCGCTTCTTCATCTAATGTCGAAGTTGAAAATTCTACAAACAATTTCGAAAACGTTTTCATATCATTTTCCGGAGAAACTTTGGAAATTAAAAATCTAAATGCGAATACCACAATTAGTCAATTGAAAAATAAGATATTTGAATCTAAAGGGATCGTACCAAATGAGCAATGGTTAACAATTCAAAATGTCTTCATAAAGAACCTTTCTGGAAAAACTTTAACGGTTAAAAATCTAAATGCGAAAACTTCCATAAATCAATTGAAGAATAAAATTTATGAAACGGAAGGAATACCACCAGATGAACAATACTTAAATTATGGTCTTAAATCACTTCAAGATCATCAGACGTTAAGTTATTACCAAATTACAAATGATACAACGATTAATTTATCCACACGATTACGTGGAGGATCTAATACGATTAAAGTTCTTGACCGTGATTTCTTGGATCCACATTACAACTACGACTTTACAAACATCAAACCTTGTGGTAGAACTTTCATGCGTGGCAATTATAAATATGTGCGACCGTATGGATGGAATCGTTTGGCGATAAGAGTTCTTGATAAGTATTCCGATAATCGTTGGCTTGGGGTAAATAATAGGACAAAGTTTTCCGAATCTGTGGAAGGCGAATGGATAGTTAGTTTTCATGGTACCGCAAAGAATAATGCGAATTCCATTGCGAAAGATGGATTCCGTTTAAGCAAAGGAAGAAGGTTTCAATATGGCCGTGGAGTTTATTCCACCCCGGATATAGACACGGCCGCTTGTTATGCTGATAAGTTTGTGCATGAAGGGGTGAATTATCAAGTTGTATTTCAAAATCGTGTGAAACCAGGTACTTTTGACGTTGTATCATCGGAAACCGGGTTAAAAATTTTTATTACTCGTAACGATAAAAATATTAGACCTTATGGTATTTGTATTAGAAAAATTTAAAATTATTTATAATCCATTGTCCTTTGTCCTCATTTTATTTTACTAACGTAAATTTCGTAGCTAACGTGAATTGATAATAAAATAACGAGAATTGTTGTTATTATCTTTTATTCCGTTACAAATTCGGATTTCGATTCCATTATCCATTAGTACATCATCCTTTTCCTTCAATCATGCTTGAAAGTTTCTTTTGTTACCTCCTAATTTCGATTTAAGTTTACGGCTTTAAAAATGGCAAATTCCTCTATCTAAAACAAAGAAAAAACGAAGTCTATATCAAAATTTTTATATAGATAATGATATAATTCTTTCATAGAAGGTAAAATTGATAAATAAAGAAAAGAATTCGGTTCGAATTTGAATTTTCGAAATGATTGTTGCACGAGGTTCAAAATTAAAATTAATTCTAGCCTGAATAGTTAATTTTTTAGAGTCTAAACAATTACGTTTTACTATGATCGGAATTTTCGGAGTTTAGAAGTTTCCCATCCATATGAAATTAGATCTACGTAGATTACAGTTCTTATTTTGGAAAAAAAAAGAAAAGAAAAAAAGAATTTTCTTTTTTGGAAAGATATTTTTTCTTTTTATCCTTTTTTATTGTTAAAATAAACATTCGATCAATCACATCATTACTGTTAGATCAGTTCAGTAGATCATTCCATTTTTCAATGTTTATATGTCGATTCACAAATTAACCTTTTGTGGGATGTAAGATTTAATAAAATTATTATAGAATAATTCACGTGAAGTTGGCTTTGAAAAAAAGTTTCTCATAAAATGCAAATATCATTAATCAAATATAACGCAGGAAAAAAATAAATGT